TCTTCATCATCATCTCCATCATCTTTATCATCATCTTCATCATCATCATCATTTTCATCATCATCTTCATCATCATCCTCATAAAGTCAGACCACACCGAGCCACATGTGCAATAGTTTCAGCAACACCAACAACTCTAACAACAACAACACTCGCATCAACGTTGCTTACTTCAACAACAGCAACAACAACAACAGCAACAACAACAACAACTTTGATGACGACGACGACGAGAAAGACGTCGACTCGATGAAAAAATTGTTAAGCGATAAAGCTACGACGACCTCAGCTACAGCTGCTGTGATGACCTCAGCAGCTGTGACCTCAGCAGCCGTTTCTTCGTCAGCTGTGGCCTCGTCAGCCGTGACCTCTCCAGCAGCTCAGCAGCAGCAGCCGCCATCGTCGTCGTCATCTTCCTCACCGTTTCACGTGCCTTTGTTGAAAATTAAGGAGTCGAAGACCGCCGACGTAAGACGAGATAGATGTCTGTCTGATGTCTCGTGTGGTTTTAGCTGGTGTTTTGATCGATTAATTGATTGATTGATTGGCTAGTTGGTTGGTTGGTTGATTGATTGTTCCGTTTCTGTTGTTCTTAGCCGCAATCTTCTTGTAGATTTCCATGCTTCGGGTCATTTACATTTTGTTCTGTAGTCTAATCAATGGTCTAATTAGACATTCAGACCGTTAATTAACCTAATTAACTAATTAACCGCTCATTTAAACATCTAACCATTCAACCACTTGGCCATTTAGCAAACTAATCAACCAACCATCCAATCAACCAACCAACCTACCAACCAATCAACCAACCAACCAATCAACCAACCGATCAATCAACCAACCAATCAACCAACCAACCACCCACCCAACCAACTAAACAACCAACCAAAGATATCCTCCCTATGCAAGATGGATCAAACATTGAAGCAGACCCCATCGAGCCACAGCCTCCCATCATCCTCACCAATCAACTCGAACGCCACACCTGCCAGTAAATACACCGACGGAACCCCACACATTTGGAAGAGGTATTTTCTTGTCCAGTGCATGTGGTATCTTTCCTCTCCTAGAAGTATCAATGATACCAACAATATACATGATCACGCGTGTATCTATCTATCTATCTATCTATCTATCTATCTATCTATCTATCTATCTATCTATCTATCTATCTATCTATCTATCTATCTATCTATCTATCTATCCATCCATCCATCCATCCATCCATCCATCCATCCATCCATCCATCCATCCATCCATCTATCTATCTATCTATCTATATCTACCAATTACATACATTCGATTGCTTTTGTTTGCTGTCTGGAGTGATGAGTGCTAGGACGGGCTCTGATGTGATGTGGTGTTGTATTTGTATGGTTTTGTATTGTGTTGTATTTGTATGGTTTGGTTTTGTATTGTGTTTGTATGGTTTGGGTTTTGTATTGTGTTGTATTTGTATGGTTTGGTTTTGTATTTTATTTGTATTTATATTGTACAATACAATACAAAACCATACAAAACTATACAAATACAATACCAAACCATACAAATTCAATACAAAATTGTACAAATACATTAAATACAATACAAAACTATACAAATACAACAAATGCAATACAATACAAAATTGTACAAACACGTAAATACAATACAAAATTATGCAAATACATAAA